GGGCACAGGTGACAGGTCTACCTCAAGAGCAGCACATCTGGCCAACCGCTAGTGGCTGGGCTGAGACACATAAGCTGTAGCCCCTCGGAACTAGAACAGGAGTTTCGGCATACGATGCGGCCAATGCTGCCACATAGTTTCCCACTGATTTCCATGAACGGCATTTCGCGGCTTGGCTGCCGTTCCGGATCTTTTGGGGAAGCCTGGACCAGTGAAGCTCCACTCCTCGTCCGGCCGTGCATGTCTCGCTAGCAGCTGGCGACGTGGCGCCGGCATCGGGAGGGGCCTTGCAAGTAAGTGGGCACATGCATCCATAGGCGTGGCAGGGGAATCGGCAAGGTGCAGGTCGACAGCCGGATGTTCGACTTGCCAGGAATCCGAGCATGACTGATATTCTGCTGTTTGCCAAGACATGGAAGTGGTCCGCTCAGCGGTCTTGACGGCTTGACAGTTTAGGATTCAACACCTCACCTGTTCCCTGTTTGGAGAGGGCCTGGAGGGCATTTGGCTGCCACCGACTGCTGGCCGCTCCATTGGGGCATGAAAGGGCTCGCCATCAAGAAGGTCTGTCGGTTCCCACTAAGCCCCAAGCCTCCGACTAAACTCTGCAAGCGTGTGTTACTCTTTGTACAATTTGTCAGGAGCGAAACGGAGGTTCATGTTCATTGAGAGCCTGTCCGAAGATGCTGGAGCTCTGACATGAGCCGACCCAGATGGCTGCAGTCAGGAACAAGAATTCAGATTGAACAGACAAGTGTTGCAAAAGCACCCCTCGTCCATGCCGGTGCATCCGGAAGGCACCATGAAGTCGTCTGTCGAAGAGGCTGCGCCACCTGCGATGGCTCCAGCTGACTGAAATCGGCGAAGCCGTCCCCCCTGCTATGGTGGGATGATAGGGCAGAATGCGTGGGCGTACTAGAGGAGCAGTTCGGCAACGGGAAGTCCGTTCGAGAGAAGGTGGCTCATGAAGCTTGTGATGGCGGAGCGCCATGCCGACCCCCAGCAACCCAGCGAAGGTGGTCACACGGAGTGCAGCTGCAAACCATTAAGCGACTGATTCAACAGCCAGTCGGAATTAGAGGTTTTGAAGGCACCGTCTGCAGTTCAGCCACGATAGTGACAGCATCGCAGCTTAAATCAGCATACCCGGACGCCAGGATTCACACTTGCCTCCAAGCTCAGGGGATTTCGGGGATATGGAAGCCTCGGGCGGAAGAATGGCATCTGCAACATGCCAAGTGGTCCAAGCAAGTCTACTGTAGCTTCTGCAAGCACGAGGTCTAAGAATCAGCCGAACATCTGGTTCTCGACTGTTCGGCAATGCGAAAGCAGAGGCAATGGGCGATTTCTGGCCGCACGCTGCTGGAGCCTGGTCTGCCAGCTTGGCTACAAGTGCCAATCTAAAGCTGACAGGGAGTCCAGCTTCTTACGGGCAGCTCCCCGCCAGACAGTGACGCCATCTTGTTGAATGGTCTGCACGAGTTTGTCTGAGGAGTGAGACGATGGCTGACCTTTCCGTAACTCGATCCGCAAGTACGGCCATGTATCTGTGAAGTTCTATGGCTACAGACTTCGCCTTCAGTCTTCGGACAGCTGATCTCACTGGCTCTGAGTACAACTTTGGACAGGCTGTTCATCGCCTCCAGCCAGAAGTCCGGATGTCGGACTGAAATCGGACAACAAACAACTCTTAACGACTCAGCTGGAGCTGAGCACGAAGCTGCCACGCTTTGTGGACAACTTCCGATATTGGCGTACCTGGCAGCTGTGAGGGAAACAAAGCTCTGATGGTTCCGGGAGTCCTGCTGCAGTTCCATGCCAATCTGCAGGCAGAAGAAACGAGCTCGCACACTCCATTCACAAATTGCAAACAAACAAGCACGGTCTTCGACCGCATACCGGACACTTTCTCCCTGACTGCAGATCAAGTAAGTCCCGCATCCTGAAGCCGCGCTCAACTTTAAACACCTTGGACAAAACCTGGCCGAGTAGCCATCTCCAAGATCTCCTCACCCACGTGGTGATCGAAGTTGCCATTCCCGATGGGCACCTGAGGATGGCCAACTAGCCGCGTTCATCTGGTACGTTACTGCCTGAACCGGTAACTTGAAACGGGCAAAGTACTTGGAAGGACAACTGCAGGCACGGAACTAAGTAGGGTGAAGCTTGGTTGAGCAGCAGCAGCTGGACAACCTCCTGTGGCTCAGCGGGTTGTCGACTAGGCTGCTCCGAATGGACCCAACGGCGGAACTGTCAGAAATTGCAGATCATTGTTTCGAAACCCTCACGACCAATACCAAGTCCAACTTTGTCCTAGGTCTGTTTGGCCTTCGGGAGTCTTGCTTGACCGCCGTCTGCAAGCTTGCGGGAGCACTAAGTCACTTGATCCGATTGTGGATCGCTGTGTAGTGGCGTGGAGCGTTTCGAAGGAAGGCTTCGGAGAAGTCACTAGGGAGGTATTATAGCCGAAGGTGCCGAGTGTCAACAGATCGGAGGCACGACTCTGTGCGAAACCCCCTTAGCTGCCGACAAGCTGTCACAACCCAAACCTCTCACCAGCAGCCTGTCCAATCCCTGGGCGACTTGCAATATTATAAAGGGGCGGCTTGACTTTCAGCCTTCGAGATACACGCCCGGGAGATGCCGGGTCCTGGTGAGCAGAGCGGCAAGCCACGCTCAGGGCGGAGGAGCCCTGGCAGCCACTCTCTGGTACAAAAGCTGAACGGCTCATGAAGACATGCTGGCAAAAGGGTAACATTCGACTGAGCACGGTGGAACAAGTCCCGGCCGCGCCTCGGCCCCAATATGATCCGGATTTGCACCGGCACGCAGAAGCAGGCCTGGCAAAGCTCTCATGAAGCAATGCCCCAATTGCAAAGGCGATGAGATGTGATGTAGCATTTGAACCAAACGTGCACCAAGACACGAGTAAAGCCTGAATGTGTACCGACGCATCCCAGAAGTCCAAATACCCCGAATCCGGAACACTACGACATGCTCTTTGTAAACCGGGCATCGGCCGATTATGACGGATCCAAGGTGGGCTGCCCAAATCAAGGGCGTCCACCTGCGGGCTTTGAACTGGTAAGTGGATGGCGCCGATGAAGCTTTTCGAGGATGCCGGCTACAGGTGATCGTCTATGATGACGACCCAGCTAAATACAACCTGTACACATCCACCCCCAACAAAAGCCATGCAGGAAGCGTGCTGCGGGGTCTCATCACTGCCAAGTTGGCCGTTGCCTGTTGGCATCCAGCTCGTCGGGGTCTGCTTTCCATTTGAGCACCTCAGGTCGAGATGCTTCGAGAGATCGTCCGAGGACAACAGAGGCGGAATGCGTGATGACCTGCGCCATGGCTATGGACAGCAACAGGCGGGCCCGGCTATCTCAGAGAAGCTGCACAGGACCCATTCCACTGCTGAGCCCAGTGACTGTGCGCAGGGCTCGGGCCCCGCGATCGTTCCAGCCAAAGCGCTCCAGCGTCCACCTCGCCATGATGGTTGGATGCATGACGAACCGTGTGTGAGTGTGTCGCTGGGGAAGGGAGACAGCGAGAGAGAGAGCCTCGAGGATCTGGCAGCCAATACTTCCTTTGACACTCAGGTGTCGTCACGGGCATACTATGGCACTATGGCATACTAAGTTACCAAGTACTGTAAGACCTTTGACGGTTCGTGTAAGGTACTGGAACCAGACCGACTGGACAACACGGACATACGTACACGCACGCGTACGGCAGGGAGACAAACAAGCCGCACGGGCACATGAGCCTTGGTTGTGCACGCATGTGCAGTGCATGGAGATAGGTAGGCATGCAAATAAGCGGTGATTACACAGCTGTGTAACTGCCTTATCTAGGTTCCCAGTTGCGCCGAGAGTTGGAAACTCGCCAAGCGGCAGGATGGGGCCAGGCGCCTTCCTCCCTGCGGCTGGCTGCAGAGCTCGGTGGGGCGCTTCGGCTGCACCGTTGGAAAAGCCGGCCCATCGCTCGCGAATGGACCACAAAAACCTTAAGCTGCAGCTTCGCACTGAAACTGCAAGATTCTCCACGACCGACTCCCCCTCCGGAACTGTCTTCCGCCCTTGACTGTTTCCTGGCAGAAGGAGAAGCACACACTCACACACACACACACACTCACTCCGCTCTGTTTGGCCCTGTTTGCCATCCGGCCGAGGCGCAGAACTTCAAGAGGCGAGGGTTTCAGAGCCTCACTCGGAGGGTCCCCCGGCGCAGGCGGAGGAAACCCTTCGGTAGTGGGCCAGAGGTGGTTGGTCCGAATTCCGGTGAAGACCTCCTCTTGGAAAATCCTTGACTTGTGGAGAAAAAAAGGGATGTAAACGACCTCATTGCCCGTCATTACGGAACCAGCTTAGCCGTGTTCGACATTTGCTGGAAGGTCTGCCGAGCAGCTGGTGCATCGAGCGCGACACTGCAGGCAGAGCAATAAAGCTGTCCCGCAGGGAAAGCAAAGCCAAGACATTGATAAGCTGCTGCTGCAGATGCTGCTGTGAAGGCGATGCCATCTCTTCAAACGCGCCACTCTTGTTGCCAGAAGGTTGGAGGTCTTCTAGATCTTCTGCCGCTGGCACATCTGCCGTCAACCGCTCCAGCTGCTGGACCTGCACTGCCCCACGGCATTCTACAACCACGGGCTCTCAACATCGCGTAATGTGTACGCACTAGCATGTACCTGGTAGTTCATGTGCCTAGATCCGGGTCGATCGAGGGACACAGGGTGCTCAACCTTCACAAAGCCTGGAAAGCCTTCAGCACGGCACCCACACCGAAACCCTGTGCCTGAAATGGGCGAAATCTCAGAGCTTCTGAGAGCTCGCAGTCTCCTTGAGCCTCCTGACTCACTCGCTGAGGCTGTGTGCCTGGAGTCGAAGCTTCCGAACCACGTAGACAGCGGCAAAGCTGCAGGTAAGCGCAGGCACCTGAGCTGCTAAGGTGAGGCTGTGGGGTTGAAGGGGAGTTCCAGTTAGTGATAGGCACCTTGGGAAGTTTTGCCCCCACACTCGCTCTTGGCATCATTCGACACTGCTCCTACAAGTTGAACCTGCAGAAGCACCGGCAGTTACCAAACCGACGCCCGCACAGAACAACCAAACCTAAACATCCCTGAACCTTCAATGATCACTAAAATCCACCGCCCCTGGAGAAGAGGAGTTCTTTTTGTGTTAAGAGAAAAAAGGCAAGTCTCCCAAGTTGGGGGACACGTTCCCAGCATTTCAGGGGAACGGGGTGCACGTTTGTATTCTTCGGGGAAACGGGGAGCGCATTCCCGGTTTTTTGTTTTCACACGGCGTGTTCCCATGATTCGGGGAGCGTGTACTCACATTTAGCGGAAGGAAACAAGGCAAGGCTTAGCGCATGAAGACTGCGATTGACACGGTAAAACGCTGAGAATTCCAGCCCTGAATCACCCAAAAACCCAGAAATTCTATCTATCTAGGCAGACCCATTGGGAAGACCCAACCTTAGGGGATAATTGAGGGATAAGATATATGACTATAGTATCCTATGTTGGGGCAAAACTTCCCTAGGCGCGTGTGTATCGCTGACTGCTTCTTGGGACATGCAGTTGGCGGTTCGAGGGCGGGTGCTTACGATTTGGGTCCCCGTGCAATGATTTGTGGAGCATCCAATGAATGAAGCTCCCTGTGCTATAGTAATCTTTCCACCCTACTGCCATGTATAGATCCGGCGGGATGGCTCACCTGTTAGCTGCCTTAGCCCCTTCGTCTGCTGCACGTCTGACTATGCCTCTCAGTTTTAAGCTGCATCCTTTGCTTCTGAGCACCAGAAGCGAGCTGTTTGGGAAGAGAAAGCCCAAGTGCCGCCGCATGGCCTTCGTTAGGAATGGAAAGTGCTGTCGTAGAAAGTCTTCAGAGCCTGTGGCGGTGAGTGTCGCTGGGAATGAATCCCCTTGTCCCTGCCACGAACAAAGGGAAACGTCATTAACGGGGGAGGAGACATCCTTGACTCTTTCAGCTTGACCATCAACAGAATGAGTTGGAGTTCACATCGTGTTGCGTCAAGCCCTCAACCATGTGCAATGAAACTCTGCTTGAGCCAAGACCAAAACAGTCGCAGATGGGCGTTTGCCGTCACGAAGAGTTTCTGGATCCAGCAGGTGTGAGCTCTACATCCTTATGATGGACCCGAATGCTCTTCATAGAGAGAATGTGGCGGACTGATGGATACTTCTCCTGAGCTTCCGACGCTGCGCTCGCGCATTTCGGCAACGAGGCGCCTGGGCATTGAGTCTGGGATCTGGCTCCCTGGCCACAACATCAGCGCAACATTGCTGCAGACAGCCTCTGCAAAGAACTGCTGAAACGAGTTCCCAGATTCCACCCATCCGGCTGCAGTCTGTGATAGGTCGCCGGCTTGAGACGCAACTGCTGGGCCTCAGAACCAAAACGCTGTGCAGTCAGGTCAAACTGCTGAGAGGAGCTGGGGCCCCAGCAGATACACACGCGCACTCCAGTTGCATAATATGCGTCTCCCAGGTGTCTGGACTAAAGCCGAAGAACGCACAGCTTGAGGTTGTTATAAAAAGCTTTTCTGCAGTGTTGGACCGTTAAGGTCGTCAGCACACTCCGGACCTCATGAACGGAGGGAGTGCTCAATGAACTCTCGTGGACAAGCCTGCGAAGGGCTTGGCCCCGCAAACTCCGAATCTCATTTTCTGAACGCAGACTCGGAGAGGCTTTACATCCCATCCTGTGAAGAAGCTGCCGTGCAAGGTCCATTCTGCCAGCCATGAGAAACACTTCAGCCACCATGGCTATGGCCGACGGTGTGAGACCCTGCCGCATTGCGAATTCAGTAAAGCACCCATGACCTGCCGATACAAGCTCAGCAGCCACCCGCCTGACTTGGCACAAGCCGCAGCTACAGAAGGCAAAACAGTTCACACTTCAAGTTCACACTTCTCACCACAGAAGGCAGCTAAACGGTGACAGCCTGGTGTTACGTCTACATTTCTGATTTGTGGACAACGAACAACATGACCCTCATCCTCTCGCTCTCGATCTCTTTTTGCATGCCGTGTTGTGTGAGCTCAGGCATACTGTATGCACACATGTATGTATATGTACGTACAAATCTATATACATATTCAAAAAACATGCGCCAAACCCACTCGTACAACACACACACACATAAACAAAATACACACAGCAAACAACAGCATCCGCACCCAGGTAACATACAAGGAGAAACAAACACACACACACACAGAGACAAACAACATGCAGTCATACACGGCCGTACGTGCCTGCATGCGTACATGTGCGCGAAGGTGTTTCTGTGACGTGTCTATCTTCAGCTTTCTGCAACTGGCTCCCTCTGCGTAAAATCAAAGCCTGTACCCACACAAACAGATCATGTGCACATGTCACACACGCATGCCTATGCACCATACATGCACTATTTCGAACATGTCCTTTTGTCCACCTCAGCTCTAAGCTCCAGAACCCCTGAAACACTCGAATCCCTTAAACCCTAAAGCTTCTCAAACCCTCCACTCTTGTACACTCCCGAAAGAACCCTTACGGTTCCGCAGCCCTAAACTCTAAACTCCCAAGCCTCAAAAAACTCTAAATCCTACGGCTCTGAACCAAACAAGTCGAGTGGCCACTGCCGAGCGCTGGCGCACACGCTGCAGGTGACTCCACAGGCTGTGGGCTCCTGCTGCAACACTCGTGCTATCTATTCTTTACGCAAACAAGCTCTTCAGGAAACGTAATGAAACTTGGTGCAAACATGCGAATCCTTTCAACCGCTGACATACAGAAATCACATCAGCGGAGCTCCCAGTGAAGCTGTGCCCGGCTGGCCGCTGCTAATGAGTACCTTGGTTGCGACAGATCTCAAGAAGGCCATCAAGCCAACAGGGGGCCGTTACTGCAGCTCTCTGTGCTGTTTGAGAACACTGCAGCAACTCTAAAGCTCTACGGGTTTCCCTCATGTTGCTGTGGTGCAGCACGTGGCATGCAGGACTTCCTTGCAGAGATAGATTGCGGATGTCAAGCCACAAGGCCCCACTCCAGCTGCGGCCCTTGGCGCAAGTGCTGGCCACTGCAGCGAAAGTCCGAGCGTCACAGCGCAGCTGGCTACAGCGGAGTCTTTCCAGCAAAGCCACAGCCTTGCCGATACCACGACACGTGCACACATCCAACGATGACAAAGACCTCTTTGCTCCTCTCTTTGCTGTTCAATGTGTTTCTAAGGTGTTTGCTTAGCCTCCAGCCCAGTATTGCACCAGAGGCGTTAAGCTGATTGCCCCTGCCTCGGCCCAGGGCAAGCCTTTCTCGCCAGCTGCGATTGTTGTATTAAAGGTTACCAGGTTGGCCTGACAAGTCCATGCACAAGGCGATGCCAAAAGGTACGGAAAGCTCTTGAACACTCACTCTCGGAGTAACGCCTCGACCCGGTGCTGCCGCATGCCTTCGAAGAAGATGTGCATGGCCCTTTGCCACTGGTGGCCCTTGTCGCCTCAGGGCTTTCACGTTCGGCAGTCTGGATGTCAAGCTGCTGTCGCACGACATGTGACATGAGCTCAGCATGAGCTGCAAGGCTCATGCCAACTGCAGGTGCAGGAATGTCATGCCCTTGATTCTGGACCAAGGCCTAGGTTGAGGCCTGGATCCAAATTGCGCAGGAAAACTTATGTCTTGGCAACAAGTTTTCCGTGCACTCGCGCGCAGACGACAAGATTTCGCCGAGCTTAGCCAGAAACCAGTAGGATCCAGTAGGTCTTCTGGCTCCTGAACCTGTGGTCAGAGCTCGCCTCTCAAGGCCAATCCATAGGCCGAGTCGCACGAAGAGATGAGGGCGTTGAAGCTGATGGTCGTGGGCTGCAGGACCCTGTCATGAGCATGTCTGTACCGCATTGGGATCAGCCTTACGATTGTTGTCACTGCTACATACCCTCACAGCCTCACCCACCCTGGCCAAGCCTTGCTTGAAGAAGTTCAAAGAAGCGCAGGGCGTAAGCCCATGCGTCTCCCGCGCAGGCAGTGATGCAAGAATTGCAAGAGATGGCGTCCTGCAATCTGCTCAGCGCCATGAGACGGTTTGCTCTGCAAGCCTATGTTAGCAAGATAACTCCGTGCTTGGAACGCGCATGCGTCTCAAACGAGTCACAGCCTGAACTCTGCCGAGATGCAGGGCTCGGTATGCCCTGATCTCCTTGGTCCATCTCCAACCACAATGCCAGCGCTCCGTCCCATCTCCGTGCACGTGCAAGGCTGCTCATCGTTGAGTTGTAGGTCACCAAGTCGGGAGTAAGCAGGACATGGCGAGCTTGGCGGAGAAGATGCATGGCCCAGGTCCACTCGGCAGCTTTCTCGCAGGCAGCGATGGCAGCGTTCCACATCACCAGGTCGAAAGCTTCACTCCGAACATCATCGGCTTGCTGCGTCCGAAATAGCAAATCCAAGGCAACGGTCCAGCAACTTTCGTGGCGACACGCGTTAATAGCAGTGGTGAAGGACACGACGTCCAGTGGCGTGTGGTCGGCGGTGTCGGTGTTGTGAAAGATGCGAAGCGCCTCGACCCATGCGCTTCCTCTCTCACAGGCACGCATTGCAGTGTTCACCGCGACGGTGGTAGGCTCAATCTGCTCCGTTCGCATCTCTGTAAGCACGCGAAGTACCTTCGGCCAGTTTGCTTTCTTGACGCAGCTGGCAAGCAGTTTGTGAACCTTGAAGCGAGACCTCAGAGTCCCCATCCAGATCTTCGCTCAAATCTACAGCGTCACGGCAGCGGCATATGTCCAACGGGAAGGCCGGGAGTATGCTTGGCTCGAGCCGGCTGAGTTCGGGGTGGAGACCCCACATGTGTAGCGGGTTTACATCGACTTGGCGGCGTCATGCTAGGTCTAACACGGTATAGGAGCCGTGAAACGGAGCTTCCTAAGGTGCCAGCAGCGTCGGCCGCCTCTTGGCAGATCGCAGCCTGGTTTGTGAGCGCTCACTAGGGGCCTTTGTCCCTCCAAGCCGAAGACCGGGACATGAACGACCGAAGCCCACCATAGAGTCATGGAAACCAGAGACTGTAGGCAAAATGCTCTGAATCGCGTGGACACCAGGAGCCTAGAACTGATTCAATTCAACAGGACTGCCTCGCCATCCCCGCCAGCCTGGCAAAACACTAAACACAGGGTCCGGGCTTCTGAGATGTTCGGACCAGCATGGTTCTACACAGGGGATGAGCAGATGAACGGCTCTCAGTTCTATTCCTTCTTGCTACCGGAAGTGACCAGGGCTGAACCGGAGAAGCAGAGACAAATCACGAGACGAGGGAGATCTACAACTGCTGAATCGGATGCCCTCCGGCGGACAGCCACATGGTGGTGCTCACAACCCACTGTCACGGAAAGTTCATCTGACAAGGGAAAGCCGGATTGAGTAGCCCGATAGCGAAGAAAGTCATGCGCGGTTTTCCGTGCTACAGAACCTAAATATGTCAGACATAAGCAGATACAGTCGTTTCTATAGAAGAAGCCGATGGCAGCTTTGGGGAACGAAACCACAGCCATGGCATAATGCCAGCAAGTGGCGCTGGCTTGCTGGATGCACATCACTCACATAACCGAACCACGAACCTCACTTGATGCGAACTGGGCCTCTGCAGATGACTTTTGTCTGGACCCGGCTTCGTCCTCTCGAAGCTCAGCATCCAACAGATCTTGCACTCTGACATGAACCGCAGTTGCAGTTTGCACGTCTCACAAAGTCGTCCTCCAAGTTGCGAAGAGCTTTCAACCTCGCCTTCAAGTATCACTCTTTCAGGAGCTGGTGTGGGGTACGGCCATGGCTTGACTCCGGCAGACCCCTAAGAACATCGACAAGGCTTGCAAGCTGGAGGCCTGCAAAGTGGCTCTGAGATCGCTGATGTCTGAAGGCAGCGGGCTGCCGTCATCGAAGAAAGGCTGGCAGGGCCCAGTTTGGGGAGCATGCATCTCTCGTGTGCTGCGCTGCTGAACACTTATACTGATTATACTGCAAAATAGCATCGATGGGACTTCCACGCATTGTCGCGAATTCGGCTTCGCCTCTGAGCCCTCCGGTAGCACAGTGGGCGAGCTCGGAGAAGCGGGCTCGGAACCCGTTCCGGAATCCTCGTCTTCCTCACCGCCTCGGTTTGCCAGAACATGGAGCACAAAGCAGTTGAACCCGAAGAAGGCAAAGCAAATCGCACCTTCTCTTCGAGCTCTTCTTCGCCGCAACCACTCGCGCCTCACTGCAGGCTGTCCCAAGCAGCAAATGAGGACACCAGCGCAAACAAAGCTTGGCCTGAAATGGCTTTTGAATCTGCCAATGGAATGAGGAAGCTGCCTCGTTCGCGAGCGGTCGGCGAAGCTCGCCAGAATCTCCTGTCAACCGATGGAGCTTCAAGTTGGAGATGCACTCACATGACAAAGCTGGCAGAGGTTGACCATGAGGAAGTTCACCCCTCGTCTCCACTGTTGTTAGGCCACAATTCCATCCCGTTCCCTGAAGTCCTGCGATTTGGCTTCAATTGCATCATCTGCTTCTTCTTCTGCCTCGACCTGGATAAAGCCTACACCGAAAGCCTTTCTGGCCCTCACTGGGCCCTCCAGGCGTTTCATGCCCACGGCACATGGCGGCTTGGTCCCGTTCGCTTGCCATGCGCATGCTGACGAAGCTTAGCCAAAAGCGTTGAGGACTGCCAGGGCAGCAGTTGCCCCCATGATTCCTGCACCTGACACGGTTTTCGTCGACAGAGGAGCCCCCATTCAGCTAAGTGTTGCTAGCTCGAGCTTCACTACACTACAGTCTAAGCCGTGTAAACCATGCTCGACTTGCAACTGCAGGCTAAAACACTTTTCGTGTGAATTTGCCGGGTGATGCAGGCATCTGCCGAATCTCCGGCCTGCCATCATGCCAAAAACTTGCGAGACGATGTATATCAAGATGGCGAAGACCTGAGCATTGTTTAAGTCACATGCAGTGGGCTGCAGGATCGATGCCGACAACCCTGAGCAGGCTGCAGTAAAAGCAAGCTCCGCAATATGCAGCCAAAGGTGCGCCGATGAGGCTTGCGCAGAAGAAGAACATCATGAAGGTGAGCTGCATTGAATTTGCACCACAATGCTAGAGTGCTAGAGGGGCCCCGTGGAAGTCATCAGTGCACTCCAGCAACACTTTCGCGATCATGGCGCATGTACGTTTGTCTCTGTGTGAGGGCATCACTTCAACGGCAAGCCAACATGAACGGAGAACTTCCTCAAATCATTTACAATTCCCGATTTCCGGCGGGGGTTCATGCCTCCTCTCGCGCAGTCTGCCGAAGGCGGCCCAGTAGCTCGAGGAAGGCCATCGCAAGAACGGGCTTCCATGTTATGCAAAGTCTCTAAGCGGGGACAGAAAGCATGAGATTACCAGCATTACTTACGAGTCGTTGCAACATGACAAACTCTGACAAGTCTCTGGCTTTCGCACCGTTCTAATCACCATGCTGACTGCCGCCCAAGCATCTTACCGACGACTTTGCAGACTGGATCCGGCCTTGAAGCAGCATTCGCGGGTGAAGCATTGATTTGTGATGTCGCATTATGGCTTGAATTCACCTCTGTCTTTCTGCCTGCGCGAAGAGCTCGAGCCAAGCTGGAGGGACAGCTGCAACAGTCTCTTTGTGGCGTAAATTTACATCTGTAGCACCCCCACGTGCTTGCAACTGCAGCATCGCGCTGACACGTCTTTTCTGCCCTGAAGTTCTGCCATCTCAGCTCCGTCATCTCAGCGTAGACCCAGCTCTGCACGTCGCCTCCGCCAGCAGAGCGCCATTGCTGGACGGCTCCAGAGATCCACTGGGAACAGGGCTGCGAGATATCACCACGCCGGCGGCAAAACCCTTCTCTTCTCGTATTCGGACGGAAACTTTGCCTTTGCTTTGGCACAGCCGGTGAATCTTAATGACCGCTCCGCTTCATTCGACTGTCCAGCCACGCGCGAGCTTGCATCTATAGGGCATCACAGCAGCACTGTCCTTTCGCGGCCGAGATTTTTTCGGTGGAAGGCCGGAGGCCCCACCCTGCCAGGGACGCCCAGAAGCAGCTTGCGATTTCGTCCAGCCACTCTCCCCCGCGCAAAAAGCCTAACACAAACAGAAACACACCCCAAGGCCTTCCAACAGCCAGCACCCACGTGCGGCCACAACCCAACCCCAACGACATCCCATGCCTGCTGTCACGGCTGGTGCGTCAGCGGCTTCCCGGTAGCCGCAGCCCACGTGCTGCAAGCTCTTCAAGGATGCAGGCACGGTAGTCCTGTGCAGGGCTTGCTGGTGACTCGATGCGAAGTTAACGGGTCTGGCGATTTCAGGCATGGTGACAAGTGAATTATGTCGTCACGAAAAAGCTCATGGCCAAGAGCAGAGCAGTTGAAAGCAGGGGGTGCCGCAAAATGTTCATTGCTCATGGTTGAAACGTTTCTACAACCATGCCGGCAGCAAAGCCTCACCTCGCCTCAGGCCGCCGCCAAATTGCGTTTATTTGAGCAGATAGATCATGGTAGAGGCACAAAGAATGGGACTACGAATGTTGGTCCGGAGAGAGGAGGTTCATGGATGAATCTATCCTTGCACAGCACTGGTTAGCCTGACTCGCTACAGGTGCCGCAACTCCTCAAACTCTGGGTCGCATGGGTTGTTGAGCTGATGCCGCAGGAACCCCTGACGGTACCACACGTCAAAGCATTTGTCATACCTGAGCTGTCCGGCCAGGCACGCAAAAGCACGTGTTCAAAGTGAAGAAGAAGCTTACATTGCTAATTGAAAGAATCTAACTGTATGAATCGGCTTGCTTGTCTTTGAAGGGTTGGCAAATGGTGATGGCCTCCTTGTAGTCTCCCTTCTTCGAGGCGGCATTGCCAGAAGTCTCGCTGGCAGGCTTGGAGCCGTCCATGGTGGCGGTTGCGGCGGGTGGGGTTGTAAGAGCTTGGAAGGCTGCACGAGATAAGTCCAAGCTGCCAGAAGCCAAAACACACGGCCCAGGAAGCGAAGCATGCTGAAGTTTCAGACTTTCGTGCTTTTCCTATCTTCTCATGACATGCAGGCTGCGCTCTTACGCTTCTGAGAAGCAAGCATTCGGCCCGGTTTTAATCATGGAAGCTATCAGCCAAGGGTATGATGACTCTTGACCCAGGGGTCCTCTCTCCTTGGACCCGTGTTCGGCTCGCGTTCAAGCCGTCCTTCTACAAGTCCATTTCGGCCACTCACCTCGTCGGCTTCGGCACACCACGCAGCTTCCTCCAAGGGGCAATCGCGAAAGCTTGGGCTATGCCTTTCATTTATTGCGATTCTTTCCTGACTCCTTTGCAGCAATCGTATTAGTTGCCGTCCCCAACATAGTCACGGTACTTCTAACTTCCCTATGCACCTCAAGCCCTTGCTGCTGAAAAATCTGCTCCCTCAGCTCCTGAATGAGTAACCACGAATCAACACGGCTGAGATCATGTGCACAATGCCAACACTGGGTCACTAGGAGCCTACGGCATGCAGCCCCCCCGTTTCTATGCACATCGTTTCCCAACCCAGCTCCGGAGTTCGGAGGCCGGGACTCGAAGCCGTCCGGGTCCGTCAGTTCCTGGCCGGGGATCGCTGCTAAGTCTGTGTCTGTTTCGACTTTAGCTCATTGGCAGCGATGGCCAAAACCCACATCTTCCGTCATCCATCCTATGCTCGCTGGATTCTATCCGAGTGGCGCGTCTCCAGCACCCGAATTTGCAGCTCCTTCATTGGCGCGAGGTCAGTTGGTTGTTTTTTGCATCTCCCAAGCAGAGGTCTCCCGCCTCACGAAGGAGGGCGATCACTGCTGGCCGCACGACGGCTATGCCACCTTCTGAAAGAGAGACAGCCGGCCCAAGGTCACCCACGACGGTCTTTTCAGCGAAGGTTGTTCGTCAAGCAACGTCAAGCGGCTGCAATGAAGGATGCGCGCACACACACACACATATATATATATATGTGTATATATACTTATATATATATACATATGTATGTATGTATGTGTATATATATATATGTGTGTGTATGTATATATGTATATATAATATTCCTATACACGTTCATGTACGTTTACACACATGCGCACCTACACACTACACATGTGTGCACATACAACAACAGACAGTCCCCCTTACTTCAGCGTGACGAAAGTCATAAGTCTTTAGATGCCTCAGTGCCTCAGGTATACACATGCAGAAAGATACCCATCCTTTCTTCCGGTTTCAGCTTCACGCTCAAGACTCTCTGGGACAGGGGACCTGGGCTGTTGTTGCCCACGCCCGTGACGATGATGAAGTCGCTGAGCTCCTTGTCGCATGTTGTGGTCCAAACCACATAAAGCACTTGACGTGACGAGCAAATCGCCGTCCGTCCATCACTAATGTATATCTAGTTCGCAGGCAAAGGTGGATTTTCTGGAGCACAACGACTCACGAGAAACACGGCACGCAGAACATCCCATCCTTGGCTGGGGACTTTCCTGTGGGTGGCCCCAGAAGCAAGTCTTCGAGGGCAACCTGAGAATTCGTGTGGTCAAGGAATTACACAGCTTGCTCGAGTCTCATGCACACTGCGGCAGTACTTGGGATTTTCCAGGTCTCAACCTGCACCGCAATCTTCGCAACCTCGACAGGCAGGCCGTGCAAGTCAATCAAGGCAGCCTCAGCTGAGGCGAGGCTTCACACATCTGCGCGTCGGATGCCGAAGCAGGTAACATCGAGGCCTGGAGCCAAAGAGGAGTCTTGATCAAATCAAGGAGTTTCGTTCTCATGGGATCTGCCGAGTTCCTTTACCCTTGCCAGTTCCCCGAGTGAAGGCAAGACGTCGAGCTTGCAGACAGGCTGACTGGAACATCAACATTGTCGGCCACGCTTTTCGAGGGAGGACTCTGAAGTTCCATCGGCAAAGGACGCCCTTGCCGCCGGGGAACTCCAGAGTCGGTGAGGCGGTAGCTGAGCTCCTCGGCTGATGGTGGTGACTGGGATGCCTAAAAGGTGTCCTATGAGGAGTTTGACCTCGCCTCCATGATGAAACATCGGTAGCCCCAGTAAGCGACCTGCACGCCTTTCGGTATCAAGCCTTCGGAGCCATGGGCCAAGAAGCCCTCTGCTCCTCTTGCTGGTCCGGCTCGGCTGCCTCACATAGCTGATGGGCATAACTTGACCAGGTTAGCACGTCAAGCGGCAGCGCAAGTCTGTGGCTTCCTGCCATCTACCAGCCAAACTCAGTGCATGCCTTCACCGCCATGGATGGCATGGTCTGGGTCTCCTCTTGCTGCCCTTGCTCCTCCACATCGCCAACCGCCTTTTCGTCCTGAAAGCTCGTTTCAGGCTCCGTCCGGTCGCTTTGAGAACGTCCGCTAGTTTGTGGATTCCTCGATTACGATTACTCTCGGGCCTCCGTCCGCCGGACAGGTGGCGGCGGCCGCTGAGGACGTGGTGGCGGCGGCGCATGCGGCGCCGAACTGACATTCAGAGTGGGAATTGGAACATAGGGACAGGTTGGAAGCGCCACAAGTAACGGCGTATAGCGGGGTCTGACCTCACGGCAAGCTGCGCAAGCTGTGGCACCTGTCTCAGTTGGACACCTGAACCAAGGCAAGGTTGCACAGCTATTTTGCTTAAGCTTCGAGGTGGAGGCTCGGCCTGGGCTCAGCTCGAGGCCATGCTCCAACATGTGAGCTGTGATCCAGAGCGCCTCACACGGAAATCCTATAATATGGACAACGGTCAATACTCGCACACCACCGTGACGCCTCCTCCCACACCTGGGCTGACGCCACGTGTGTCAACGCACGGCTGCACTCCGCAGAGTCCTCGGTTGGGTGTCTAATACCCTGCATCAGAAAAACAACCAACATGCCAACCTTGTAGGGATCGCAGATTTGCGAGCGCTCTCGCTCTTCCACATTTAGACTGCCAGCTACAGGGCGCAGAATCGGTCTGCAGTCAGCCTTGGAAACTGCGACCTGGCGGCCCTCAGCAGCGGGGATTCCTCAGTGGCCCAAGTCACCACACGCAGGAACTCAAGCTGCAAGCTCGCAAGATCTCGCAAGCTCGGTGCCCCGCCTTGAGCAGTTCCAGGCCAGCTGGCAGTTGGTTTGCCTCCATCTCTACACTCTAGGCTCCTAATTGAGAGCGTGCAGCCAAGACTGTGCGAGTTTCGCCCAAACCCCACTACAGGAGCAAAACTAGTACTCCAACGGAACTGTTGCTAGCACTAGGGAGAGGATAGGGCTCACGAGTTCAGGGTTTGCATTCAGGGATTGAGGAATCAGGCTGAAATGAAGGTAGAGAGTTAAGGGTCTTCCGGCGGGCCCTTGCTACAATCCCAACGATCTAGTTCTTGCTGGCTCCAGCCTCGAAACAAGCAGCCAGAACAGTCTTGATGCTTGAATTGCTCGGCTCCTTGTTTGGCCGACTGTGGCCACAGCTGGCAAACCTGCTCCACAAAGAAACGGACGGAAAAGGATCTTGCTCCGGGCGACAACGCCCAGGGACGGCATCTTCTCCCTCAAGATTCCAAGTGCCGTTTGCCATTGCCCAGATTGCCTGAGCTACTATTTCCACTCTCATTCTGAACCTCTTCGATGCCCTCGTGTAACTCGATGCAGCTTCAGTGAAGATCTATCGAGCTCTCTGCTGGCTAGGATCCGGCAAGCACTGAGAACCAGAGTCGCAGTCACCACCTGAGAAACGCGAGGTGTAGACTTTACGACCCGCCTCAGCCTGAAGTCCACGCCGCGTGGTTGGCACAAGGCTGAGCCAAAGGCATCTGGCAAAAAGCCCTGGCCCTGCATCTTGTCCATCAGATACATTGCCTCGGATCTTCGGCTCATGCATGGCCCAGTAAAGTGTCGCATCGGGATACAACATCGTGGTTGGACTGGCAGCGCTTCAGTCTGATCACAAGCGTTGAAATGCGTTGAAGGCTCCGAATGGAGGCTTATATTTCCTGCAACCGGCTCAGATTCTACTTTGACATCCAGCCCCGGCAAACTGCACACAAAGTGGCCCACTCCCACTCGCCGCAGGCACCGCACGTCCTCGTTTTGCTGGTGGCACTACCCGAGGGAAATTTTGCTTGCTTTGGGGGTTGGCCATCACTGCGCCGGCAGCGTGCCGTGCCTCACTGCTGCGGTAAAGCACAGTGCGTCGACGGCGCGAGACCCAGGTTTGGCAAGCCTATCGAGAAGCTGCTGGCTGTGTACCACCAGGTGGCGACCAATTGCTTTTGGGACTGGCATCCGGTGATACCAGCATGAGACACAGCAGGCCACGCAATCTTGGATCCAAATTCCTTTCAACTTTAAGCTGTCCGAGGACCAAGGACCCTTCGTCCTCAATATGAAGAGCGACTTAACACATTAGATCAGAATCAGAACCAGAATCTGATTCTAGTTTTTGTACTCGCATGAATCTATCTATGTCATCTATGCCATCTATGCTTTTCTTCGTTCTTGTCTGCCATGTCATCGTTTTTGTTATCAACAACGGCATCAACATTGTTGTTTTCAGCAGCAGCAGCATCAGTGTGACGGTAGTCACCGACATTCTTCGGGCAATTGTGTGCATACCTTGAAGTTGCTTTGACTAAGTCTAAGTCTTTCCCTGCCCGCAATCCCTGCGGCCTTTCGATGTGCGCAACGGCCTCCCCCCACGCTTTGGCTGCTCCAAGCGCCTCCAAGCTCTTCCGAGCTTTCTGAAGGGTGTCCGTTGTGGGGATTTGGGATTTTGGAAACGTGCAACTTCGATCTAAGACTTCGTTGCAATCTCCATGCCGTGTTCGCCAGTCTCCGTACCCCATGCCGCACTCCTCTACAAGCCCAAGCAAGACCTCGACAGGCCACCGGGCCACCGGCTTCACCAGTGCTGCTGACAGAATATACGACGCATGCAAAAGCAAAAGCAATCGGCCGTCAACAATAAAAACAGAGCTTATTGCAGCTCGTTCTACTGAACAAAACTGAAGATGTCGGCATGTGTGCAGAAGCATGCACTCTTTTTCAACACGTGGGGTCAGCTCAAGCCGCTCGCATAAAGGCATGAAGACCGCCGGCTACTGCACTGTACCAGGTGCATCAGATGCGGCACACGAAGCCAGCGGTAAACTTCAAAACCTGCACTCAGAAGACGGCCACACAGCAGACGGCCAGTGTCCTGTCGAACAACGTGCAGCAAACCACTCTGCTTGTGGTGGCCAAAGCGAAACCACCCAGCACCAACAGGCTCCCCACAAAGCGGGGTGCAAAGGCAACCATCTGCTCATCATCATCAGCGGAAACAGCAGAGTGTAATTGTAACCACCCCAGGCGAAGCTCAAGCCAGCCTATAGAATTAGTAGAGAAAGTGCGGCCTCAAGGCGCACCCCATGGCAATAGGAGCAAGCCGCACAAGCACGCTCAAAACCCGCCTGCAGCAAGCGCGAGGCCCACCCACAGTAAGCAAAACAGCTGCAGCAGGAAAAACAAAGGCAGCAAGTGCACGAGCGCAGGCAGCAGCAGAAAGCGCCCACGACCAGCGCAAGCTCAAACTTCAAACAAGACCAAAGCCACGATGCCAGAGATCGTCAGGAAGATCAGAGAATGCCAAGGCACCTCACTCGCGCCTGCACGCAATGCAGTAGTGGCCGGAGTGCCCGCGGCGAGAGGTGACATTGACAGGGCGACGGCACAAAAAGCCGCAATTGGCGCGGCACCCGGTGCAGCAGTACCCTGTAAGGGTGTGACCATGGTCACGTAAAACAAGAAGGCAACCTGTGAAGAGGATACCTCAGCGGCAGCAAGTGCCCAGAAGAAGGCATGCCAGACAGTGGCATTCAAAAAAGGGCCACTCGGCAGTGCCTCGAAGCTCGATCCTGCAGACCTGCTGCGCCTGAGGCAGGAAAGACAGGCACAGCAGGAGCCCCAGAACCGGCAGCAACAGGGGCAGGATCAACGGGTACCGTGTTGCTTGGCAGCGGTGCCCCTCTGCCACCATCAACTTGAGCAGCCACGTCAGAAGAGGCAGGCCTAGAGCTCAAGTCGGGGGGTGACACCGTAGCCGCCACCGCGGCCGGTTGACCTGGAGGAGCAACTCCGTCAAGACTCTCAAGGTCAAGGAGGCAAAACCTTGCAGCAGGAGGGGGCAGGGGTCGCAGGCCAGCATCAGAAACTCCAGGGCCACCAGCCGTGGTATCAGCCACAGGCACCTCAGATGAAGCAAAAGGGCCAGCGGCAGCAGGCACAGACAAGCTTTCATCAATCATCGGTGTTGGTCAAGTCAATGACCTCAGTGGCGTCCGTGTCAGCCGGTGCAGCAGAATAAGTGTCACCAGCCACCCCGACCTGGAAGAGCCAGGAAGGCCAGCAGCACCTGGGTCCACCGGGGCAGTCTTCATCCACACTGCCGCTCGTCTATGTCAGCCGCCGTCCAATAAAGACGCTGAAGCTCATCACGAGGCATGGCCTCCAGGACGGCACCAAGAGTGTCCGTGTCAGCCTGCGCAACCGAGCGCGCACGATGCACCAGACGTGTCAGACGAATCAACGACATGATCGACAACAGTCCCCAACACCACGCCAACAGCGGAAGCAGAAAACAGACGCTTGAGCCAAAATGGCCGCGAGGTGCAATAAAGTCGCATATTGAATATAGCAAACAAATCAGAGCCAAGCTGCAATGCAAGAGCATACTTACAGCGTTTGAGATGAGCTTCATGGGCTCTTTCTCTTCTTTCTCAGCCCATACTCTAGGACTCCACGGGCCCGTTGGACCACCAGTGGCTTGTTGTTTCCGTGAGTACGCTCTCACAACTCGGGCAAGCCATGCGAGGTTCCATGGTTGTTTCCGTGAGTAAAGGATTTCTTCGTCACGATTGCATCCTACGAGAACAAGACTACAGAGCCCAGAAACGGCCCCGGACCCTGTGATGACTCGAACACGAGATGACTTCGACATCAATCTTTAAAGGATCCAGTGCGGCCCCACGGCCCCAAGCCTGGAGCATCAGCCCGACGAGGATCGGATTGCCTTCCTTTCCAGGCAAAGCTTCCCGTTGAAATTGCCTCACCTCACCGGTCCTTTCAACACCTTATGAAGCCGCCCTACACATAAGGCAAGCGAACTCTCCCAGATAAAGCACTAGAGTCACTAGACTCACTAGACATCTCAATCCATCCGTCTGCCAGAGCTCCCGCTCGACGACTGGCAGTCGACCGTACATCTCAAGAGCCTTCTGCCAGGCATCTCCTGGAAGGTTTGGATGCGGGGACAAAGTGAACCAACTCTATGGCTATAAGACGGTTGAGTTGAAGTTTCAACTTCAGCCGGCATGTCCATCATTCATCCTGTGTGCGAGGATCAGTCCTCGCAAGCAGGATGCCATGGTGGCGCTGTGCGTGATGACGTTGGGGGCCTACGCAACCGCGAAACGCACACGGCTGAATCTACACCGACCTTTAATGGACTTACTCGGCACTGTCACTATTTCATCCGCAGCGAAGTATAAGGCAATTGGGCGGAGCAGACTGGGCATCAGCGTTCTCAGGCAGCCGCCAAGGCTCGCAACTCCATGGAGCAGAACAGGTCCAGAGCACCTTGCCTGGGCTGCACCCACTTGCTTCCTGCTGCACAGAACAGTCCCTCTGCTGGCAAAGTTACCAGTGAGAGCCTTTGTGGCAGGCACTGATGGTGGTGTTGTAAGTGATCTCATTTGGCAGCCCATGGGGTGTCGCCATGAAAACCTCCAGCGCAGCTTGCCAGTCGCTCGCCTTCTCACATGCGTTGATGGCCTGCAGTGCTTGAGCTTCTGTGGCCACCCCCTCCAAGCAAAGACGCCGAAATCAACAAGTCTCGACATATCTCGGATGGCACTGAAGACCAAGTGGCTGCATTGAACGAAATCAGATCAGGAGGGACGGCCACCTCTGGCATCTCGCCTGGTTGCAGCTCATTGAAGTCAAACACAAGAATCCGCGCAGCCCAGGCACAGAGGAGGGCCAGAGCTGGCCGAGACTGCTGGCCTCAAAAAAAGCACGTCAAAGGTGTTCAAAGCTCGAAGAAACGATGGGAAGGAGCTTCAATGTCACCACCATCGGCAAGAAAGCAAGAGGTTTCGCAGCACTCCTTTTTCATGCGCAGGCGATAATCTCTGTTCGATTCTGCTTGTAGATGAAATTTGGCAGCGCGCTGACATCGAACCCTGCTTTGTCGGCCGTGTTCCAGGCATCTTGTGTCTGACGCAGACCTGCCCACGTGGATATCGAACCGGGACTCAGTTCTCGTGAAGCGCCCAGAGCACACTTCTGCACCGTGGTGCTGGGCTCGGGTTGTAGATCACAATTAGTCACTCCACGACCAGCCAACCCACGAAGCTGTCAGGGTACTTCTTTGGCATCGGTGTCCTCACTTCGTTCTGAAAGTTGCGACGCGCGGCGTCCATGCTGTACTGCAAGTCGTTTTTCCTGTGCAAAGGAACCGGCGAAAAGTCAACAACTTCGCTTGGTCTGGTCTTGCAGCTTCCAGGAAGCTTTGGGCCTCCAGAGCATGTACGCTCCGGGCACCGCTGGCGCCGCAAAGCGGCAGTTGACACTGGCTGAGCGGCCCCGGCCTGCAGGGAGAAGCTGGGAGTTTTTCGGCTTAGAGCTGATCGGAAGGGCCTGCAACACCATTGTAAAGCTCGCCGACGATGGAGGTGTCCAGGGCGAGAACTAGCCTTTGCTTCGTCCGTGATAAGCGGTTCAGCATTGAGCACGGGCAGCCGAGAACATTCCCGGTACTTGAGAGAGCGCTCAATGCAATAAATTAGTTTCTTAGTCTACGAATTTTCGTCTGAGGGGTAGTACGCTAAGCAACAAACATACAGTACTACCTTCCGCCTCAATCGGCGCGGCATCTTCACACGCAAACTGACCCTTCCTCTCTTTCTGCCAAGCGGCTGCTGTATGCAACCGTCCGCACTGTTGTTTTGAATGCGCACTGCAGCCCGCAAATGCACTTCCTTGCGGCGATTCGATCGCTTTGCATGCTCTCCCCAGTTGCCAGCCACCTCCCTACCACCCCGGAATAATTCCCAAAGCCGACTCCAGCATCTCTGCTTTGCTGCAGTGTTGAGAAGGCTACAGCTGGGAGACGGTCTTAGAAACCGGCGTGGGGCACATGCCCAAGTCAACTGGCCAGGCACCCCAGTCGACCGCCCCCAAAGCGACTGGCCAGGCATCCCACTCAACCCCCCCCAAATCGACTCCGCAGACAATTACATCCGGGCAGGAGATCATCAATAGCAGACCATTTACAAGAGGGCTTAAGGCCAGAATGGCCTGAGGGCTGAGGAGTGTAGCCTAGCAAGCCAAAACAGACAGAAAAAAACCATCCATCGACGTTTGCCTCGCCAGGGGATACGTGGATGGAGTGCATGGGAATATCATCCACAAAGAGCTTCACCTGAGGTGTGCAATGCAGACTACTGGTGTCTACGTTGGTTATAAGTCTACTCTGAAAAACTCAAGTCATGTCACACTCGAACATGAAACCCTGCAGAAGCGTGCCTCGTGGTTCCAGCCGCTCAATTGGTCCATCCGTCTTCGATTCGCCTGACTAGTCTTTGTCGATTAGAACATCGTTCCGATTAGAACGTCGCAACACATCTGACATGACATCATTGCACCTCGAGGCTGTTTTCCAGCTTCATCCAGCACTGAGCGTCATCCTGGCAGTCATTGTCGGCCCTTTTTCGCAGCCCTTGAGAGCTAACTACTTGGGTGCACTTATATCCAATGATTACTACAGTCACTAGCAAAACACAACTGCAGCAGCAAGCGTTGCAAACTGAATGCTGCAGTACATCCTCTCAGCGATCGCGTGGGCATGACTGAGAGGCAAATGCCATGAACGGCAGACGGCAGTTTGCAGGGTATCGTTCGGAATCATCAGCATTAGAAATGACCATTGGAGCTGCGACTGTCAATTCCCAGAATGTCGCACGAAGGCTTCTTACTGTGGCAGGCGGCCGTTACCACAGTTTATAGATAGAGCCGACGAAGGTGTCAGGCTGTCCAAGACTCAGGATCTGGACCATTCTCTGTAAGTGGAACCCAAACCACAAGCCACATCAGCCTGTTGAATCCGCAAACACGACTGCGATGACTCCGTCTCCCTTCTTCACTAGGCGAACTGTCCTCCAGCCAATCCTCAAGCCTTGGTTGCGCGAACACTTCCCTGAGATCTGAATAAAGACCGAATGCCACTACTGGCTCCTGGCTTGGGTGCTTGGGCCGCACTGGCTTGGGCCGCACTTCGGCAGTTCAGGTCACAAACGTACTGAAGCGTCTTGCTGTTTCACAAAGATCCAACCCACCAACCCCGTGCCCAGACACTGATCAGCCGAAGCATGCTGCTGGAAGTAGCCTCGCCTTGCGCATTGTCCAAGCCGACACTTTGATTCAAGGGGGCTAAAGCACAGACACACTGCAGAAGCAAGAACGGAGAACAAACCATACCGGACTTCTTCCTTTGCACGAAAGAGATGATGGACATGCCTTGAGCCATTCCGATCAGCAAAGAAACCGAACACCACTGTGGTGGCAAACAAGCTCAAAGATACAGTTTCCCCTTTCCTCCACTGATCCACCGTTTTGTCGGCTTGGGAAACCCCTGCACACCCCTCATCTGCTCGAACTACGCGACCCAAAGCAAACAGCATTCATGTATCAACCGGTTCCATCTGGGAAGAAGTCTGGTTAGGTCCCTGAACCATTGAAAGATTTCTCCAGCGACCCCTTCTTTGTTGCTTGCCCCCACGATTGGTTAGGCCTCTAGGCCCTGGCCATTAAACATCATCAAACTGGCAGACCGGCAGAGACCCGAATCATGTAACCATGATTCCATTCCTTTTGCCCGCGAGATTGGTAAGGGGCTTGAACCGTCCAACTACTTAAATCGATTGTCTGAATGGTTTGATGGTTAGTTGTGTATTCGATTCAGCAATTCGCCCTAATCATCAGCCACAGACCCTCAAACTCCAAATCGGCTTGACTCTGCCACTATGATCGATCAAGCCTTTAAGCCGTTATTAAGGTTTGTAAAATCAAAAGTTCACGGAGCCATTGGCTTTGAATCGCAAATCTGCGGTTCGGACACCAGACTTTATCCTCGCTATGGCATACTATGGAATCCGGACGCGCAGCAATATAGTTTTCATGACACGTGTTACTCATCGAAAGGAGAGTTAACACTCGTCTGTCGTGGAGCCCCTGGTTCACGCCACTAAAAAGTTTTCATACATTGTAGACTTCCGGGAAGCTTAACAACCACAGCCTTGTACTCCAGAAAGGGCCATCATAACAACCTTGTATTGATGCATTACAACCTGTCAACTTTACATCCCAAGAACACCACAGCGACTTCACATCCGAAGACCTAGCCCAGGCACAGCAAGGCAGGATGATCACCATCGAAGCCGAGCTCTTGGGCCCACCCGGGAATTTCCCTGGGCTTCGGGTCGGCGCAGTCGACGTGAGGACATTTTCTAACTCGGACACTTGTTCAGGAGCGTGTGCATGCATGTCTGTATGTATGTATCCCTGGGACATTTCCGTAAATGAGTGTGGTCGGGGGGAGAGATGGGGACCGACAAGAGAGGTCATGCGAAAACTCGAGGTGCACAGTCGTCGGAGCCCTCGAAATGGTGAGCCCAGCAACGGACCAATGACCATGGTGAGTTCCAGAGTGTCTGCATTCGCCTCGGATCACATCGAAAGCCTGCTGATGGACATTGCGAACTTTCGCTTTTGGTGGCTCAGAATCCCCGTCTGCCACGTCCGCTCCGTTCAGAGGGGTTTCTGACACTCTATTTGGCTTCGGGCTCCGTGCTGTATTGGCTGGATTTCTCGTTCCTGCAATGCTGGGCAGCTGAAGGCACGACTGGCATTGTGCGATCGCAGCTGTGCTCGGCACAACCCACGACAGCATCACTGCATCATAATTTAACACATCAAAATTTAACTCTACAGCCTCACTGACATGGTGGTGGTTGACAAGTATAAATCGCATTGGGCACACTATGAACAGTATATAGCAACGCAGCAGCACCACTCCGCCGTGTCAGTAAGTTCTACTGAAAGCAGTAAGGTGCAGCATCTCTTGGGGAGCGCCTTTTCTGGAGCGACGGTGCAAGGCTACCGTGATAGGACAAAGTCTCGTCGCGAGAAACCTCACTGCAAGCCAGGGAACCCCCAAAGACTGGAGCAGCTCATTCTCCTTGAGGACCCGCACTTCAAGTAGAAGCCGCTGCCGATATTCTGCGATGCCCGAGGACTTGGCCAGGCAGGACTTCCTTGATGTTGCAGAAAACACTTTCGGAAATCCTTTCAAACTTTAGCATTTCCCCTCACTTGCGTGTTCAATTGCATCGGAAAACCGCTTCTAGAGGCTACGGCCCAACAAAGCCGCCCAACATTTGCAATTTATGTTTGTTTCAACTTCAGGTTTGGAAGAGCCAGCTAGAAAATATCTGCAAAGTACCTGGCACAAACACCATTTCAAACAAAGCCCCCTGCGGCACACAAAATCTTACAAGGCTAAGGCCAACATTCCAAGGTTCAGGTATCGAACTGTGTCGCTGGGCAAGACTGTCGACTCGAAACTTTGCCCGCTGACTGTGGTTGCCAGCACATGGACCGCCTGGACATCGACACAGCTCTACAGCCTAGATTGCCACGACAACTGGGCTCCGCTACGAAGTAATCTCTGACTCTGACCGACGGCTCTCAATCCCTCAATCGGTCGATGCGCCTGTTTTTGCAAGGCTTCCTCCCGCTCGGCATCAGTCATGGCTTCTTGCTTCTGTAAGCTGAAGCGGCTTCCCATGGCCCAAGCCACGCAAGCCCGATGTGCCGCTTCACGACATGGGAGTCATGGGAGTGTCTTGATCGCTCTTGGGCCGTATCAGAGCTGCCAGACGCGTGCGCGTGAAGAGCACTTGCCGCCTACTCCGCATCATATGGAGCATATGCATGCGCACATGCATACGCATGTTGCTAAATCCGTGCTGGCATGCATATGCATACATACACACATGCATACATAATCATAAGTAAAAATATGAGTTTTATAAATGAATATGCATATATACATGCAGATACATATGCACACACACACACAAGCTTACTGTGTGAGAGAGGCTTGCACATATCGGCACCTCTTTCGCAGGCGCTGATCGTGGCATTGTAGGTGATTTGATTCGGCCTTGGATCGGGCATCGAAACATCATATTATGGAAGCGCGCGACATTTCATCTGTCCGAAAGTTCCGATTGCAAAGCGGGGATAGGCATCAAACTCACCAAACCACAAACATTCCTCCCGGTATCCCGGGCCGGCGCCGAACCCCTCTTCCAAGCAAGAGGACAGCTACATCAGTTGAGCGACGTCTTACATCTTAAAGCATCTGGATTCAAAGTTTCCGTTTGACTGGGGGTGGCTCTCTTGGGACATCTTGCCATACTTGTGCAAGTTGTACGTGTCTCGTGTGGTACCGTAACCAGTCGTCCTGTAACGTCTCTTACTGTGCATAATGCGGAATACTGCTCATCTGAGGCACTGCAGGTCATTGTCGCTGAGCTGCCTCCACGGACAACAAAACAGAGCAAGCTTGCCCCTCACACAACTCAACTTGCATCATGCACAGCTACCGCAGCAACGAGTGTGTTGAATCCAAAACAGCGTAGGTAGATTCTTGGTCATGTTTGCTGATGCATTGGTCATTGGTCCGGACACTCGGCTGTGACAGCACTGCTTCCCAAAACATTGCTTGTGCCTCAGCGCTTCTATTGACTTTTCCCACAAGGCACCACGTCCGTAGGCTGTGATGGCCTGAGGTACTCAAGGATCATGTGTCTTCGAGGGCTGCGCTGATCTCAGAAAGATGGGAGATGCCGGGACACGATGCAAACAAGCTCAACATCAAAGATAAACCTCATCAAACACAAGAACATGTGGGGCGAGGCGCGATGGATGTGGCCACGAGGCCTGGCTCCAGGCCCTGGGCCTTGGCCTCCACAAAAGCGGCCAGGGCCCTTCGCCACTGCCGCGCCCTCTCGCCTTCAGCCCACTCCTCCTTTCCCTCTTTTTCTAAAGTCTTCTGGCCAAACCATAACTATCATGAACTGGTTAAGTTGTTGCCGCTCAATCATCACGTGCTAGTTGTCGGATTCAGAAACTTGCCGGTATTCCATTGAACCAATCTAACATTCACAACTGCGCAAACCGGGCACTCCGTCTCAATCAGTAGTCAACAGTCGTGTGATTCCAAATGTTGGCGGACGCAGCATGCCGAGGGAATCTTCCGGTGAAGGGTAAGCTGTTCCATATATCGGGGCTTCAAGGCTTTTCAACTCGTACTCAAAGAACTTGGTTCTGCAGAGCTCCTTTTATCAGGCCGCTCTACGACGCTTTCAGCAAGTTGGGGAGGGACGGTGTGAAAACTTGCAGCTGATGGCCCACGGGATAAGTGGAAAGCTGCAAGTTTGAGCGGCATGCAACTCAATCAAAGTGAGCTAGCTTCGAAGTCGATTTTAACTGCCGGCATGTGCTCGCTGCTGCCAACATGTGCTGTGCAGTTGCTGCCGAGGGACAGGCACTCATAACAGCTCCATATAGGATCATATCCGGCTGCATGCGCGGCGCTTGCTTGGCGCCCTGGCTTTGTGGCGCGGAAACGTGGTCCCACTTTTCACCCCAGCGACAGTTGCTGAGCTGAGCAAGCCCATCAACAAGGGTGTGCAGCTAGATGTGACCTTCTTCGCTGCTACAGCCCGCTACAGTACTCCTCAGATGCAAAAACATGGCGAAACTCCGATAGCCTCCAGGAGCCACACGGCATCTTCCCAAAGGCTTACCGTAGCTGCCTTGGAGACTGCCATGGTCACCTCCTGGGCGAGAAGAAGGAAATCTCTCGGGTGCCCTCTCCTCTCGAAACCTGCACCCACCCAAGTATCCAAATTCGCGCAGCAGAGCTTGCAGCCAAGGTGTCTGATAGTTTCGTCAACGCCTGACGACGGTGCATGATCTGCAGCTCGTGGGCAGTCTGCCGGCCGGCAAGAAGCTTGACACGGGAGTTTGCAAGCGTAGGAGTGTGTAGGCACATGTAGGCATAGCTCGAGGTTCATGAACCTGCAACCTCTTACGTAGCATATATTCGTGCCCCCCCGGTGTTTCGCTACAGAAATGGGCCTTCGTGCTTAAATCGCTGAATTGTTACTCTTCTTCTTTACCTCGGGCGTTTTCTTGAGGTCTCGAGCATTTCTGCTTTCAATAGATCGAGCATAGTGGGTTTGGACTTATAAGAACGAGGATCGAGGGTGGGATGGGAAACATCCATCTAGCGCCAGGATGACAGCAAAATCGTGACGTTGGGCTGTTGGCCGGCAAGCTTTTGCTCGATTGTCGTGAGCCCAGGATCACTTGATAACCTATAGATCGATAGTTCCACTTCAAGCCACAAATCCCTGCGATTCTTAACCTGGACCCTAAACCCTATATAGCTTCTTTGGCTAGGGTGATAAGCTAGCCTTTTAAGCTATATAAACCCTAAAACCCCAAGACATAGAGAGCTAGAGAGAGGGGGAGACAGGACCCAAATGAAACCCTATAGCTAAATACCCCCCGGCGATGCAAGCTGATGGTATGGCCTTGAAGCAGATCGACCGGTGCCCCCGGATTTAAGGTATTTGGGTCCGGCTAAGGGGTTCAGGTGTATATTTCTATCCTGGGAGTTAGCATGGTCGAGTATTATTATATAAGTGTTGGCTCAATCTCTGTGTGTGTGTGTGTGCACGCCATCGGGAGCTGGTAGTCATAGTCGATGCCTCCTGCAACGACAGGTACAATGGGACTTTTCGGTGCTCATCCTCTACGAGATACAAGGTGCTACCCTCCTTGCCACTGCATCAGCTACAGTTGAGTTCGAGCGATTGCACATGCTGATTGGTTTGGTTGTTGTGGCACACTTTGGCTTTTCATCTGAAGCTTCAGGTAGCTAGTTTTGGGGCGGCCTTTGGGCCTTCTTGTGGCAATGGATTCGGCAGTAGTGAGATCATGGATGGAGAATAAGGTTATTCTCAATCGAGCCTCGGCTTCGAGCCTTTGCATCCTGCCTCGCGATTTCCTTTCACGAATGGATGTGATATTGAATGTGGAGGTGCTCGCCCCATTGATTAAGTTCCATGGAATGAGACCACCTGTTCAATGCATTCGGAACGAAGTCAGAAGCTTCTTTCACTGTGCCCGCCCGATGGGCATGCCGGAAGTGAAGCGATCCTCTACAGCAATCATACGATCTATTGTATTATAGAATTATAATATGAACGATCATAAGTAGTTTCTAGGGCATGAACATACAGCCGAGGCGATGTGGTGCATGCACAGAGCTGGGCCCTACGAAGGCTCGTATCCATATTCTCGAGGTCGGCTAAACGTGGCCACTATCCCAGGGAACGAGCAGTTCAAAAACTGTGGGCAGCAGCATCCATCCCTCTGCCTCCCAATCCGAGTACTTTGGATGCATTCGAACCATACAAAAGCTAGGTAGGCAAACAGTTTCAAACCGAAGCACCACCCAAAATGCCCAGGATCTCGGAGCTTCGATTCTCTTTCAGATGATGAAGCTTCTACCGAAGCCCCCGAAAGCGAGGCAGAGTTTGTCGAGGCCCGGTTTGTTCGTTCAGCCTGATGTATTTTGCAATCAAATCCAATATGTCTGCTTGGAGCAGGATCCTGAGGTAGACTGCGAAAGCTTGAGTGTCTTTGTTGCAGATTAGAAGTGTCTGCTTAATACATACATATACATCTCCCGCCTCTGAACATCCCAGGCATGGCTCCGGAAACTGGCAGTGCCTCGGAGGATCGCAGGCTCAGCAGTTCCAGCTTGGGCTCGGGGGAGAATCCTTGGGTGAAGAATTGCCCCCATGGGAGTGGCAAAGTGATTCCTGCTACGCCCCCGTCGGACTCTCGTTCATCTGGGCCTTCGTGTGAGGATGCAACAGTGGGATCCTAAAGCAAATTGGGCATTGTGTTTTTGAGGGCACCGCACAAACCTCCCAAGCCTTTTAGATCCTAAACCCAATGCCTTAAGATTTCCCTCGGCCTAATGCTCTAAACCCCAACCCTAAACCCTAAACCCTAAACCCCTAAACCCTAAACCCTAACCCTAAACCTTGGCTCAAGCATCGAATCACCCACGAAACCCAGGACTTTTGGCTGATGATCTTGATCAACTGCAGTTGGCCGAGGAGCTCGAGCAGCAGGGGGCTATTCTTGAAGAGCTTCAGAGGTTGCTAGCTCTTCAGGAAGAAGAACAGAAGCTTACAGAGATGTTAGCTGCACTGGTTGATCAAGATGGAGTGCCTGCACCCCTGGATTCCCACCTGTGCTGCTACTTGTCTGTCTTAATTATAAACTAAAACCCCGAACCCCAACCTTACTTCTAATAAATCCTTATGATCGATGATTCCAAGCCCACTTTCATCTGTCTTAAACTAACTAAAACCCCGAACCCCAACCCTAGTCCTAATAAATCATATGATCGATGATTCCAAGCCCACTTTCGTCTGTCATAAATAAACTAAAACCCCGAACCCCAACCCTAGTCCTAATAAATCATATGATCGATGATTCCAAGCCCACTTTGAGCCCAGGGGCCGATCGCCGAGACACGCTTCCGCTCGACCTCGCCGAATCGTTGGCTGTGGAGAAGTCCATGGAGAAGAAGGCATGGGGTTCTGGGTTTCTGGGTACGAATTTTAAAACCCTAAAGCTCTAAAGACTAAGTTCTGGCCCTAAACCCTAGCTTTGGATACCTTTTGTAACTTCTAGCTCCTAAATTTTAAACTATGAACCCTAAACCCTGATTAAGCTGGGGGTGTACATAGTTGCAACAGCAGGCTTGCAGCCCTGGAGTCGTGGTGCACGACAAGCAGGGGGAGCCTGATGTTCGTAAAGAGCTCTTCCCACCCGTCCCCACGGCAGTGGAGTTGCAGATGGATGCAAGCATCGCAGAAGCACCTGGGGTTTCGCTAGCAGATGAAATCATGCCCGAGACCAGCCTCGCAGAAGCAGCAGCCGAAGACCCAGTAGCAGATGAAACCACGCACGAGACCAGCATCGCAGAAGCAGCCGAAGAGTCACTAGCAGATGAAACCACGCACGAGACCAGCATTGCAGAAGCAGCACCCGAAGACACCCTAGCAGATGAAGTCATGCAGCAGACCAGCATCCTGGAAGCAGCCGAAGACCCGGTAGCAGATGAAGCCATGCCCGAGACCAGCATCGCAGAAGCAGCCGAAGACACCCTAGCAGATGAAGTCATGCCCGACAGCATTGCAGAAGCAGCCGAAGTCCCGGTAGCAGATGAAGTCATGCCCGATTGCAACGATTCGGCAGAGGCATCCTGCACAGACACAGAGCCGGAATCTGACCAGGATCACACGAAGCACTACGAGTATGTTGCTCCAGACACAGAATCCATGGATTCCAAGCCAGCTTTAAAGCGAAGTGATCGTGATCGCCCTGCAATCCTAAAGGATCTGGCGGCCATTTCGCCGGAAGAGCAGAGCAAGCTCACTCGGGCCAAGAAGGCCCAAGCTGATGAGGAGGACCCGGATTCTGTCGAAGCGCCGAAATCGAGGGGCAGAGGTTCGGGCCGGGGCAGAAGTTCCGGCCGGGGCAGAAGTTCGGGCCGGGGCAGAGGTCGTGGCCGGGGAAACAAGAAGGCCGATGCGATGGACGAGGCAGACAAAGCTGGTGGGCCCAAGAGAAAGCGAGGGGTTCGGGCCGACGAGGAAGAGGAGCCAAAACCCCACGCATGCAAAGCCAAGGCGAAGGGAGCAAGCAAGCCTAAGGCTAAGGTGAGCCCTAAGAAGAAGAGCCCCAAAAAGCCCAAAGCAAAAACCGTGAAGCCGAAGGGCGAGGAGCCGAAGGAGGAAGGAGACATGAAGCCGAGGGGCAAAGGCAAAGGAGCGAGGAACAAAGCAGACACGATCGCAGCAACTGCAAAAGACGATGAGGATCCTGTTGCAGCAATGAAAGCCAAAAAAAGCCGCAAAAGCATCGCCTACCACAAAGCACGAAAAGCAGCAGAAGAGCAGGGGTTATCTGCTGAAGAAGCCAAAGCCGCAGCCAAGCAAGCCACTCGATATAATCGGTTATTCTGCTTTTTTGGTTAACCATATATAGTTAGGTATTTATGCCTGTAAACCTCAAAGCCTAAAGCCTAAATTTTATAAAGTGATACCCTAAACATAAACCTCAGGCCCCTTGTGACCTTGCATTCCAGGCTTATGCTCCGGGCTTGTAAACCCCAAATCCTAAAGCCTAAACCCTAAATTAAATGAAACCCTATAAACCCTAGACCCCTTGGGACCTCGCATTCCAGGCTTATGCTCAGTGCTTGTAATCCAAAAGCCTAAACCCTAGAGAGTGAACCCCTAAACCTAAACCCTAGACCTCTTCTGACCTCTCCCATCCAACCTCGCATTCGAGGCTTATGCTGAGACGGATTAGCTACCTGGAGCACACGACGAACCGGCCTCACGGGGGACATCGTGCTGTGCTGTGATGGTTTGAAGATCTACTGATCGAGCTTTATGTGCCGAAGCAGCTGCTGCCTAGAGCAGACTTTTGACTGGGCCACTGCACATACGGCTAGTTATGTGCGAGGGAGACAATGGCATGTGGAGTTTTGCTTTGCTCAAACGTGCCAACACGGTCGAGCTTAGTACAGCAGAATCTTCACGATGTGATGTCATGCACTCATCTGCTATGCAGACATGCAGCCGGCACTTGTGAAAACGGACTTGAACTGCATCCTGAAGCCTGCCTCTGCACATTCATAAAAGCTCCGATCCCTTAAGCCCCTCGTCAGGTGAAGTTCGATGCCCGGCAGAGTTGAGGGCTGGGCTGCCCGAGCATCCGCACTGGGCACAGCAGGTCACCGCCTTCCCGTGCTTCCATTACATAAAAGCTTTGGGGCTGGATGTTGGAGTTCTCTCACCCTTGGACCCGAACCCT